TCTCTCTCTCTCTCTCTCTCTCTCTCTCTCTCTCTCTCTCTCTCTCTCTCTCTCTCTCTCTCTCTCTCTCTCTCTCTCTGGAGTTTGTTGGTTGCAGCAGTGTCTCAGTATCTGCTCTCCTGACACACGGAGGCAGTTCTATTCTCTGTCTGTTCTGTCTTTAGTATCTTAACGGTGAGGTGAATGTAAATCTCGGTATGGAGGACCGCGGCTCTAGTTTTCCCCCCCGTCGGAGACACGCAAACTCACCGGACAATTAAGACGTGAAAGGGCACATACCGGCCGGTTGTCAACGGAAAACGCCGCTGCTGTTGTTTTATCACAGTGAGGCTCACTAATGTTTACTTCTTCTTCTTCTTCCTCCTCCTCTTCTTTTTATATCTACGCGTCTTCGAAAACAGATGCCCTGCTCGGGAAGTTACGGGCAAACCGCGGATAAATCCGCCAAGCCGTCTTCCCCAATTTTCAAGAGGAGCTCTCACCCGAAGGTAAAACGGCTCCAAAACTGTTGAATTGATGCTCGATGTTTGTGTTTTTTAGCCCACGTTTCGCCCACTGAATAGACGTGTGTTCACTTATTTAGTGACATATCTTTGAGGAGTGAACATTTCGTCCAAATTGGATGACTCATGCTGAATCCAAATGTTGTTTTGGAGTCAGTAGGCTATTTAACTGAGCCTTTGCGGGTTTAAAAGACATGCAGGCTGTTTCTTGAACATTTGGCCGGATGTCGGGGTTGCAGGTGTGTTAAACAAAACAACAGTGGGCGATCTGTCTGTGTGATGTTGTGATGTGTGACTGAAATGATTCAGCTCCTCCTCCGCGGTTTTCTCAGCAATGTTTCACAGTCAAATAAATGCGTACTGGAGGTTTGGAGTCTTGGCTGGTATGGACATTTTGACTTGTCAGATTGGGTCAATAAGATGTTTATCATAGACCAAAGGGTTGCATGCATTGTGCCACAAAAACAAAAATCACATCAGCAGCCTGTCCTCCAAGAAAAATTCAGAGCCTACACTCCACCAATGTCAGGTGGCCCAAATGAAACTAGAGACTTGTATTATCTCCAATGGTTACTGTTGAACATAAAGAGGCATGCTTTTATTGGTTCAAAACACTCAGATACCCTTGAGATGAGTGAATCAAGTATCTTTTTCTCTACTCTGACAAGAGAATTGTGACAAACAATATCTGTGTTTTATGGGTGATGAAAGACATTGCATTTAGTAGAATGCCAGTTTCTGCAAATAATGAAATATTTGGGTGTCTTTCAAAGGACAAACAATTATAAGAAGGCCACCATGTTCCCACTGGTGCATCCTAACATGAGGCCTACTTCTAGAGATGATGATTTAGCTCAGGATCCCACTCCACTATTCACAAGGTCAGTGAATCCACAAACTCATATGAATCACACAATGTCCACTCAGCAGTCACTCACTTTCCCACAGCAGGGATGAGCAGGGCCAGCTCAAACATATTGAGTATAGAGATACCAGAAAATAAGATATTGATAAAAAAACTGGCAAGCAGAATAAGATAGATCCTGCTGTCACTTTGAAGGAGGCAACACCATTCATTGATCCAGCAGTGCTCGATACTAATCAAGTTAAATCAATAGTATTTTTCCCCCAACAGTTTCATTAAATTAACTCTACTGTAGATGACATAAGACGAGTTGTAATCACTTGATGTACTACAACAGGCGTGGATCTGTTAGTATGTTGCGGTGTCTTTCATTCCATCAAATTAATGGATTTGGGTCTAGCTACCCTTTTAGCGCAGCCTTTTGAGTGACCTGAAAAGCAGCCTAACTGCTGTGTTAGTGGCCTCAATTTGCTTCAGCTGCAAAAAAATGACAGTAAAAAAAGCAGGCCACGCTAAGTCATAGCCATTTATGTCCATCTTCCCGCTCGCTCTCTCATCCACTTTCACACACTCTACCTCTCTCTTCCTCCTGCGAGTATGCACTCACTCAAACTGTGTCTCATCGCATCTCATCATTCTCAGCGGCACTCTGCCCTCTCTGCTTGTCTCTGTCACACACGCACACAAAAAAGAGGCGCACCAGCTAACAGCCATGTTGGACATCATGTGATCAAATCTGTAGAGCACTTCCCTCTTCTGTGCATCATCTCTGTGTCACACTTAGGTTGTCTGTGTTTATTTTTCTTGGTTCATTGTTGACATTCTGCACTTCATCTTGACTTGTTGTTGTGTCCAGTATATTATGACCAGGGCTGCACATAACTGGTGCGCAGGTGCGCATGCGCACCTCCGCCAAAAAAAGAGCACCGGGTAATTTGAAAAAAGGCGCATTTGCGTACCAACATTGAGAGAGGGAGAGAGAAGGGAGAAGAGAAAAGAGAGAAGAGAAGAGAGGAGAGAGAAGAGAGAAGAGAGAAGAGAGAAGAGAGAAAGATATTTGTGAGTTGCATATGAACTCAGGGCCGGCCCGTAGCCCTGGCGTTATAGTTGTTCGCCTAGGGCGCCAGATCTGTGGAGGCGCTGTGCTGGCAGTTCTGGGAGGGAAAAAAACATTTTTGACCGTTGGGGCTCATCCTAATTTTCGGCCTTGATGTAACAATATTCATAATTAAGTAAAGATAAAAAAAAATGCATAAATAAATAAATGTTAAGGTAAAATAAGATATGAATGAACAACACAAATAAAATAAGTTACATTCATTTGTTATTGGCTATGGTAGGTTATTGGTTATGTTCACATACTTATTTGATTACATCCACTTGTCTAAGATGACAACAGAGACTTTCGACCCAAAACCAGCTGTTGACTTGTGGATGCAAGCAGCTAATCGCAGACTCAACCAGAGAGGAAGAAGTAGGTCTACATCATCAGCTACCATGTCTGACAGAGAGGAAGACAGTGAGGAGAACAGTCAGGAGGGTAGTGATGACAGCTTGTAGGATTACTGGTCGTGCTAATGTTGTCTTGTGTTCACCTCTGCATGTGTGTTCAGTGCCGTGTGTCTGGCAAATAAAGTCAAGACCCCCTCAAAAGTTACGGTTTATTTCATTTTAAGGATGAGCACCAAGCAACATCTCCAGGTGCTCCTTTGAGAACAGGGCAAAAAAGTTATGTGCACCCCTGATTATGACCTCTCTTTGACCTTAGAACGAGGTTATCTGTTTGTTTTGGTATATGTTACCAACATATGTGTGTCATGTGACATATTATGGACAGAAAGAAAGAGCACCAGAATTAAACTCCCCAACCCCAGAGGGATACCGAGGGCAGGTCATTATTATTTTCTCTAATGCGCAGTGGCTTCATTTTAGGATGCTATATTGCAGAGGGCCATTTATAATGTATAGAGCAGTCCTGTATTAAATATCTGCAGAGTCGGAGGTGTGTATTCCACCGCTCAGTCAGGGGGCTTGATTACACCATATTGCCTCAATGAAGGAATGAAGGCATTATGAGGATTTGGGGATAAATATTTCGCTCTTGTGTTTCTGCAGATAAAACGTCGCTATGTTGAGTTTTTGGAGTGTGGGTGCAGTCATTATTCATGTTTTAGTGGATGCTTTAATGTTACTGCAGCAAATGTGGGTTAGAATGTTGGCATCTTATAGAAAAAGGTTTAAGACAAAAAGTTGGTGTCACCGTTGCTGAAATCCAAGGATGAAAACATAAAAGGAAGCGTGGGATCATGTATCAACAGACTGAAGCTGCAGAAACAGATAAAGTAGCAGAGGTCTATATTTAAACGGCCTCACTAGAGAGATAAGATGTCGTCATTCCCCACAGTTGGAAACTGTATGCTGAAGAAACCAAATCTTTCATATCGCTGTGTCCTTTTTCTTGTTCTTTATAAAGCTTTTAAAATAGATCACAGCCTCGCATCTATTTGAAATATTGGTACAGGTTGTTTTTTGGATGAAGAGCATTCGGTTTTCATTTGAGAGCTAAAAAAGACATCACATTTGTTTCTTTACTCTCCGTGGCAGGTATAACCAGCAATATCAAAACTGAATAATTCTGACATTGAAAAAGTCACCCCCTTGTTGTTCTCTGGTTGCCACAATTTATTCACCGTTATATAAAAACAATCCCATGGGATATTCGACAACAAGATAACTGTCGTAATTATAAACTATAGTTGATGTGCAAAAAAAAAGTAAACTGCAAGCTAAGTACATTTCAGGAATGTGTTCCTTAAACTACAGCGATTGCAGAACTGAATGAAAGAAATGTTAGTCATTCAGATTAAGTCGTGGCACATTTGGCACCCATCTGCTCATTACTCAAAGTAACACTAAATGTCACAGAATAGTGTGTATTTTAGAAAATGTGCAAGTGTCACTGCTGCAAGTCTCTCTCATCGCTTTGCTTACTTTTCTTACGTTTTCTCTCACCTGTCAGACTTTCACATTTCAGCTGTCATGAGCACAAACTTGCTGAGTTTATCTAAAACCAAAGATTTGTTTGTGCACCCCACCCACTCCCAGCCTTCTATTTTTCAGGCTTGAAATTGCAGCAGTGTATTTTGAGGATAGCTGTCATGCAGTAAGACACTTTTGACATCAATTAAAGCCTCCTCTACGAGTCAAAAACATCCTAATCCTAATTAAACCGTACGTCTCACTTTCCGAAGGTGGCGGGCTTAAGAATGGGTGCCAGTCACTCTTTTCACTTGCCCTGCAGCTAATAGCCATGCTAGCTGGGCTGGACTGGGACACGAGGGTTGGCACAGGTTCAGGCTGGCAAAGGAGTAGCTTTACCACTGAGGCTGTTGTAATTCTGCACACCACATGCCATGCTACCATGGTTGGCGTGATGCTCGTTAGCACTGCAAAAAGGGAGGAATTACAACACACTGGTCGAACTAATAGATTCAGAAAAACTGTGGATTATTAGTACCATTCACTGGCTGTGCTTTCCATTGATTACTCCTCCAGTGTTTGTGCCTAGCAAATATGTCAGGGGAAGATAGCATTTAGTTTGATAAGCATAGTGCGGTAATGCTAATCTTTTCATGAAAATATAAGTTGATGCAATACTGCATTAGCACCCCGATCAGACGTGGTAAAAGAAACACATTTCTCAAATGTTTATCGACCGCATTTTATTCACTGAGGAGATTCTTTACTCCCTGGCTCTTCACATAATATATTCTGTAAACTTAAACTCTGTGGTACTCCGATGATTATTCACTTTTTAATATATCTACCACTTAAAGTTATGCAAAACACCCACCTGAGTTCAACAAATGTTTACCTGGCCCTGGGAGAGATCCAAATGATTCCCAGGTTTTCATACAAATGAAAGCAGTTGTTGTATGCGTTTGCTTTTATGTGTGTGTCTTGATATTGTGATGGACTCAGTTATAGTTGGAGGAAATGTCTAGTGGTCAGTCAGTCCCCAGACTAACCTCCCATTTCTTGGCCGTGAAATGGCTCGATTAAAGCACACACACACACACACACACACACACACACACACACACACACACACACACACACA